CAACAGATTCTGAACTGATTTCCTCCTGCATAGCCCGATCACATGGTTTTGTCGCAAAGCACTGACATCCAGCTATTAGTATACTATGAAGCAACTACTCTGTGGGACTAGGAAAAATGGTGGAAGATAAAGTTGCTTGTGACATAAAACCTTCCCTGGGCCACATCAGAAGTGGTATTCAGCCAGTTCTGACAGGTTCTGGAGAACCGGTAGCGAAAATTTTGAGGGGGTGGGAAATGGAGATTTTGCAGTATCCTTCTCCTGCCGTGTCCACAAAGCCATGGCCACAGAACCGGTAGTAAAAAAAATTGAATCCCACCACTGGGCCACATACCTTGTCCCATAAGTCTGTGAAGAATTTATCCCATCACCAGGATTGCTGTCAGCCACCATTCTAGATGTTGTATTTGGTGGCAACACCATTTTACCATGCAGCTTTTATAGCTGAAAATTTCAAGATATCTGTTCAAAAAGTGAATTAAAGTTTTAAAGTTGTTTTAAAGTTGTTTTAAAGTTGTTTTAAAATAGCTTTAAAGTCATTTTAAAGTCATTTTAAAGTCATTTTAAAGTCGCTTTAAAGTTTTAAAAGGTAAAGTAAAAAAGAAATAAAATAAAAATATACATTCATGTTAGTCTAGAATCAAGAAATTGTTAAGGGCTGCCTGTTCAGGTAGTCCTTGATTTATGACCCACAACAGAGCACAACATTTCTGTTTATGAACAAGACAGTTGTTAAGTCAGTTTTGCCACATTTTACAACCTTTCTTGCCACAGTTGTTATGTGATTGCGCCTTCATAAGTACATGTCAATTGCCAAATGTCCGAATTTTGAACATGTGACCATGGAGATGCTACAATGGCCGTTAAATGTGAAAAATGGTCATGTCACTCTTTTCAGAGCTCTTATAACTTTGAACAGTCACTAAAGGAATTGTTGTAATTCAAGAGCTACCTGTTTTCCAAATACTACAACATAACTTGAAGATATAATTAAATGGATACCATATCATTTTAGGCGGAAAGTCTTGTGTGGAAGGCAAAAATATTGGCTGCAATCACACACTCTAAATTAAGGTTAAAGTTCACTTTGGCTAGTTTTTTTCATGGCTAACATCTTGTGTATACATAGCCAATATCAGTAATCTAGAAGAGTCATGTTAGTCTATTAACAGTTCCAAATTGGGAGTCTGGTGCACCTTTCTTACTAATCAGTTTTATTAAAAGGCATAAACTTTTGTGAGTTGCAATTGGCTAGCCAATAAACAGTAGTTATCTTATAGTTCACAATGTTATCCAAATAGTGATGATTGGGTTAAAGCAACATTAAGATGAATTATTCATAGAATATTTAACGAATGCGTCCAGTGGTTGGTTGGTTTTTCATTTATTTTTAATTCTTCCAGGTAATTGACAAATTACTCCAGCATTTTAAAAAATTGGTTTGTGCTACCACTAAGGTAAAGGTTCCCCTCGCACATATGTGCTAGTCGTTCCCGACTCCAGGGTGGCAGTGCTCATCTCCGTTTCAAAGTGAAGAGCCAGCGCTGTCTGAAGACGTGGTCATGTGGCCGGCATGACTAAACGCCAAAGGCGCACGGAACACTGTTCCCTTCCCACCAAAGGTAGTTCCTATTTTTCTACTTGCATTTTTTACATGCTTTTGAACTGCTAGGTTGGCAGAAGCTGGGACAAGAAACAGGGGCTCACTCCGTTATGCAGCACTAGGGATTCGAACTGCTGAACTGCCAACTTTCTGATTGACAAGCTTAACATCTTAGCCACTGAGCCACTGCATCCCTGTGCTACCACTAGGTGATGCTAAATAGGTCCACAAATTTTTTACTAGCTGCTTATGGCAGAGAGAGGGGGCGGAGGGAGAGAGGGAGGGAGGGAGGGAGAGGGAGGGGGAGAGAGAGAGAGAGAGAGAAGGAAATTGACTCTTTTCAGCTAATGGAAGCCCCCCACCCCAAAATCAGGGCAAACAATTTTAACTTTCAAAAACTTTCAATTGGGCAAGATGTTGAGAAGATAAAGCCAGTAAATGTGGGAATTTGGAACCGCCAGAGTGTCTCCAGGCATGTAAATTAAGCCTTATCAAGACAGAGCCAAGATTTGTTCTGGGCTCTCCCACAATTGCAAAGAAGAAACAAATAAAAAAGCTTTTTTTCAGTTCCTCATTTTTGGAAACACGTTCTACCTTTTTCTCGTCATCGCTATTTTCAGGCATTTCCTGACGATTAGCATTTTCCTGCTGCACAAGGAAATGTCAAGCAATTCTCTCCAGATTGCTCTTTGGAGGAATTCCAGAGATTGACTTGGGGACTCATGGGTTCTGGAGTATGTTGCTCTAGATCCTGATATTTAACCTCGGGACTCAGATACGAATCATGCACGGGCTGAGGAATTCGAGAAAAATTTGGATGAAATGTTTCCAGATATTTGTTCTTTTTCATCCAAGAAGCTCCAGCCAATTCCTGCTTGTTTCAGTGAAGGGGGGCTGCATGCAATATCCATATTCAGAACAATACCTGTGAAAAGATTATTCCTGGAAGAAAGCCAGGGGAGGGGGGTATTCAGCCAGTTCACACTGGTTCCAGCAAAGCGGTAGTGGAGATCATCTGACCACCCGCCCCGACTCTAAGCCGTCCTATTTAGCCACGTGTTGAGGCCGGGTACATGCGCCGAAGGTGCCCGTGAGAGCAAAGTGCATGCACTTTGTTGGGTGCATGTGCGGACGGTGCAAGCAGGGTGAACCGGTGGTAGAAATAAGTGAACCCCACTGCTGAAATAGCCATGGCTTTCCCCTCTTACTTGTGGGCTTTCTCAAGGATTTTACTTGGGGATAAGAGTTACAGAAGAATGGGATAAACTATGGGAAAGAAATTATAAATTTACAACTGCAATAGCTTGCAAAGAAAATCTCTAAAAAATGTTTTATAGATGGCATTTGCCTCCAGTGGAATTGGCTAAAATGTACCCAAATTTATCCACCAAATGTAGGAGATGCAGCCACAAGCCTAGAACATTCTTTAAAAAATAATAATCCAATTTTTATTTGTTTTTGAACAAGGACAAACAAACATAAAAATAAAAAAACCATCTTCCATTACAAATTGTGGAAAGTGCGTCAGTTGGTTACAGTATTTCCATGCATCTCTTCCATAGTCACCACCTGCTTTTCATATCATACCTAGATTTTTATGTCACCGTTATTACTTTATATGTAACTGTGAGGTGAGTTGGGAAGAGAGATGGAGGGAGGGAGGGAGAGGGGGAGGGAGGGGGAGAGAGAGGGGGAGAGAAAGAAAAAGCGGGAGGAGGGAGAGAGGGAAGGAGAGAGGGAGGGTTAGGAGAGAGGGAGGGGGGGAGGGAGGGAGGGAGGGAGGGAGTGAGTGAGTTTGTTTCTTCAATTCCTAAGGGAGTGACAGAGAATCAATTCCAACAAGATCAGATAAGGCTTTGCAAATTCTTTGTCTGGCCTTCTGCCTTTCAATTCTGCAATGGCTTGCTAGGAAATATTGGGTCAAGTTCATAAACCTGGAGAGCTTCCCAGCTAGTGGAAGATGGCCTTAATCCCTTGCGTTGTGCATCACTCTGGGCAGTTCTGGTACAGGCATTAGGCTGATTTTCAGCATCCTGGAAAGGTAACAAACTTATTATCTCTTTTATGTGTCATTATCATATTATTACTATGGGGAGAAGGAAGAAACATGTGGAATTTTCTGCTTCAGGGGTCCAAATAACCTACTGGGCTTGGATTAGGGGTGAAATCCAGCAGGTTCTGACAGGTTCTGAAGAACTGGTAGTGGAAATTTTGAGTAGATTGGAAAACCAGCAAATGCCACCTCTGGCTGGCCCCAGTATAGTGTGAGAATGGAGATTTTGCAGTATCCTTCTCCTGCCACACCTACACAGCTACGCCCACCAAGCCATATCGCACCCACCAAGCCATGGTCACAGAACCAATAGTAAAAAAAATGAATTTCACCAATGCCTTGAATAGCCATTCATTCATTTACAGAAGAGTGAGAATAGTTGCCATTGTTGCTTTCTCTCTCTCCCGGTGCAGCGTTGTAGGTTAATTCTGTTCTGGTGGGAAGAAGATACTTCTTCAGCTGTCAAGAGCATCCTGGAAAAGTATCATGTACTGCAAAATCTGCCAAATTCAGTTTTCTCCTAATTATCAGTTTTGCAAAACTATGTTGGGGGTAAGGTCACATGAGATGACCTAGAAGTATAGAATGACAATCTTGCAATGTTCAAATTATGAATCAGCTCCCTAAAAATAATGTGACTATGGAAACCATCAGATCTGAGGCAGGCAGTGAATGTCCTAAGTGCATGTACATAGAACATAGAATCACAGGGCTGGAAGGGCACTTGGGAGGTCTTCTAGTCCAACCCCCTGCCTTATACCATCCTGGACAAATGGTTATCCAATTGCTTCTTGAAAACCTTTGTCTTAAAACTCTTTCTTGCTCTATTGTGATGTTCAGCTTCTTTGCAGCATTTTTTCCCTTTGAAAACACTTTGAGAAGGGAAATGTTTGCAAGGAAAAACAAACAAACAAGAAAGTCCAGTTGCCTTTTGGAAATGCACTTTTGGGGCAATCATGACCTGGATCATGGAGAATCTCCATAGATGTCTTCCCTTTCCCACTTTCCCCTCCTTTTCTTTTCACTGCTTGCCTTGCTACAGGTGGCCTGAGAAATGGGAGAGAGAAGGTAAATGGTTGCTTTGGTGCCAGATCTTTAACCTTAGGGAATTCTTATTTCTTACTCCTTTCTTTCTCAAGAGTGTAGAGCCCTTATTTTTGTTGCTAAAGAAGAAGATGGGGAAGAAATGGAGNGAGAGAGAGAGAGAGAGAGAGAGAGAGAAGTGCGTTTGTATGTGTGTCTGTGTGTGCGTGTGTTAGGGTGTCAAACCTTGGCTCCTCCCCGATGCTGGGCAGGCCGGCCGGCGATTGGTCGAGGGGAAGTCGGGATCCTCTGCCTGCCCGCCCCGCCCTCCTCCTCCTCTCCGCATGCTGCGCGACGCCTGGCTTGCTTTTTGCAAGGTTTGCCGGCAAGGTTGCGCGGCTTTCCGGACCGGGATCCTGAGCGGCGCGGCGGCGCAGCGTGCGTCCCGAGCGGAGTCGAGCTAAAGCCGGGGGGCTTCTTCATCCTCCCCTGCGGGCTTCTGGCATGGGAAGCAGCAGCAGCAGCAGCTGCGACCGTCGCAAGGGCTCGCCGGGGTCGTGACTGCTTGCTTGCGCGCCTCTGGGGTGAGCGCTGCTCTTCATCTCCCCGGGATCCGCCTGCTCGTCTCTGGCTCCCCCGCGCCGCCGCCGCCACGTTCACATCATCGCAGCGATCCGGCGCCTCCTGCGGAACCAGGTAAGGCGGCGTTGCGAAGCCCGAGCGAGCCCGGGACTCCTGCGCCAGAGGGAGGGGAGGGATCGCGATCGCGGCGAGACGAGGCGCGGTGCGCATTTCGAGCAACTCTCCACCCTTCGGTGCCTTGGCCTGATACCCAAGCCCATCATCCCCAGCCAGGTCTCGAATTGCCCGCTTTAGAGGAGGGGGCATTGGATCGGCCCAATCCTCGGGTGACCTTGGGGAGGGTCGCCTCCAACCCCGAGACCGAGGATCTGCTTCATCCCCTGGGTGGTGGATGATGGGGTTGTGGGGGGTGGGAATCAGGGATTGGAGGAATTATTAGAGCGACCTTCCTCCCTTTCCTGACACCCAAGTCCATCATCCCCAGCAGGGTCTCAAATTGCCCAGGAGAACCCGCTTTAGAGGAGGGGCATTGGATCACCCCAATCCTCGTAGATGGACCTTGGGAAGGTCTTCAACACCAAGACAGGGGGACCTGCTTCATCCCCCGGGTGATGGATGATGGTGTTGGGGGGGGGGATCAGGGATTGGAGGAATTATTAGAACGACCTTCCTCCCTTTCTTGACACTCAAGTCCATCATCCCCAGCCAGGTCTCAAACTGCCCACTTAGAGGAGGGGCATTGGATTGCCTCAAATCCTCAGGTGACCTTGGGTGGGTCGCCTTCAAACCCGAGATGGGGAACCTGCTTTGTCCCCTTGGTGGACGATGATGGTGCTGGGGTCAGGGATTGGAGGAAGACCCTTGGGCTCCTGGTGTGTGGGGTCAACCCACCTCACAGGATTGTTGTTGTGGGCAAAGGCAATGAGGCAAAGGGGGTAAAGGAAATAAGATGGTTGGTTCTTTGAATGGTGTGTGTGTGTGTGTGTGTGTGTGTGTGTGTGAGAGAGAGAGAGAGAGANCCTGTTCTTTAGAAGACCAGATCCTGAAGATGAAACTCAAGTACTTTGGCCACCTAATGAGAAGGAAGGACTCCCTGGAGAAGAGCCCAATGCTGGGAAAGACTGAGGGCAAAAGAAGAAGGGGAAGACAGAGAAGGAGGTGGCTGGATGGAGTCACCAAAGCAGCCGGCATGAGCTTAAATGGACTCCAGAGGACAGGAAGGCCTGGAGAAACATTGTCCATGGGGTCACAATGGGTTGGACACGACTTCGCAACTAACAACAACAAAGCAGAAGTGGGGTTTGGAAGTCTAGCCATAGCATATTTTCTCCTCCAGTGGGAGTTTCTATTTTCTGGCTGCCTAAGGAAGAAAGAAAAGCTATGCCACAAGAGGAGGGGATGTTTGTGTAGAGATATGTTTTGAAGTCATGTGCTGAGTAGCAACTGAAGGCAGGAGAGGCAATCCTCGAGTTATGACCATAATAGAGCCTAACATTTATGTTGCTAAGGGAAGCATTGATTAAGTGCTCCGTTGTGTGACTTTCCTTGCAGCAGCTGTTCAGTGAATCATTGTAGTTAAATTAGTCACCCAGTTGTTAAGTGGACCTGGCTTCCCCATTGACTGGTCAGAAGGTTGCAAAAAATGATCCCGTGACCCCAATTGCATGACATTGCAATGGTCATAAATATGAGTCAGTGGCCAAGTGTGTGAATTTTGATCACTTGACCATGAAGATGCTGAAATAGCCAGGAGTCATTTTTTTCAGTGCCACTGTAACTTTGAACGATCAAGAACTATCTGTATGAGGGTCAAGCATCATCAGAAGACTTGGTCCCTTCCCTCAGAAGGGAAGATTCCAAAGAGAGGACCACTGTCAAGACTAAATGTTTATTTCAAGGAAGAGGATCCAAACGGTTGCAGGAACTGGGCATGGCTAGTCTAGTGAAGAGAAGGACCAGGGGAGACAGGATAGGAGCCTTCCAATATTTGAGGGGCTGCCACAGAGAGGATGGGGTCAAGCTATTTTACAAAGTCTTAAAACCTTAGTAAGACCATACCAGGGGTGGGTTCCTTCCGGCATTACATTTTGTGTGCATGTGCGCATTTGCACCTAAAAAGGTCTGCGCATGCGCACAACATTAAAAAGGAAAACAATTTCATTTTTTCAATGAAGATTGTTTTGCGCATGTGCAGAACAGAAAATCAAGATGGTGGTCCCGAGGATCGAACACATGTCCGGCCAAGTTACTACCCACTTGGCCGAACTGGTCCAAACTGATAGGAACCCACTTCTGGATCACACTTAGAGCACTGCATTCAGTTTTGGTCACCACACTATAAAAAAGATGTTGAGACTGTAGAAAGAGCAACCAGGAGGATTAGGGGATTAGAGATTAATCTAGTGAAGAGAAGGACCAGGGGAGACATAATAGCAGTCTTCCAATATTTGAGGGACTGCCACAGAGAGGAGGGGGTCAAGCTATTCTCCAAAGCACCCAAAGGCCAGACAAGGAATAATGGATGGAAACTGAGCAAGGAGAGATTCAACTTGGAAATAAGGAGGAATTTTCTGACAGTGAGAACAACCAACCAATGGAATAGAAGTCACCTTCAGAAGTTGTGGGAGTTTCATCCCTGGAAGCTTTCAAGAAGAAACTGGATTGCCATCTGTCAGAAATGGTGTAGGGTCTCCTGCTTGGGGGGGAGGGGGTTGGACTAGATGATTGACAAGGTCCCTTCCAACTGTGTTAATCTGTATCTGACCCTGGGAAATTGCATTATTTGAGTGTATATTATATTATATTATTTGCATTATTTGCATTTTGCAGAGATTTTGGAATCTTCATTGCATTAGCTAATGTCATTGGTTAATTTTAAGGTATCTTTTGAGAAATGTTGAAATTTTGGTAAAGTTGTGAGATTGCTTTTTCAGGGCTTCCTTTGCTGTTGCACTGAATGAGTTTCAGCGGGATGGGTGGGTGCAGTGTATATGTACGCCCGTGTGCAATGGATTGTGTAATGAAGAGGGAGGTCAGTCTAAATGATCTCTCTTGTATGTCTCCAATCCTGCATGTCTGGGGTTGTGAAAAAGAGATTGCAGAATGGGCTAAACTGGTTATCCAAGTTTAACTTGCCACCCTCTAGATGTGGGCCTGGGAAGGCCACACCCCTTTAAGGAATGTTCTTGTAGACGGAGGGGTAAGGAGCAATACAGGTGAGGAGCTACGGAACAGAGGTGAATCATCCTCCAATCCAGCTGCTGATAGGAAAGAGTGAGCTTAGAATTTGGAACTGAGGCAGGATTAGAAAAGTGCTGATTTTGGAAATCTATGAGCCTCCCTGATGGGGTACAGAGATGAAACTGCTGGGCTTTCAAACTCACATTTTATGTTCAGCCTGTAAAAAAATAAAGGTAAAGGTTTCCCTTGCACATATGTGCTAGTCGTTCCCGACTCTAGGAGCAGTGCTCATCTCTGTTTCAAAGCTGAAGAGTGCTGTCTGAAGATGTCTACGTGGTCATGTGGCTGGCATGACTAAATGCCAAAGGTGCACAGAATGCTGTTACTTTCCCACCAAAGGTGGTCCCTATTTTTCTACTTGCATTTTTAGGTGCTTTCAAACTGCTAGGTTGGCAGAAGCTGGGACAAGTAACGGGAACTCATTCAGTTACGCTGCACTAAGGATTAGAACTGCCAAACTGCTGACCTTTCTGATCGACAAGCTCAGCTTCTTAGCCATTGAGCCACTGCGTCCCTTATATTCAGCCTGTACAAGTAATCAATCCATCAATAATAGAGCTAGAAGGGACCTTGGAGGTTGTCTAGTCCAACTGTCAACCCTGAAGCTGACTTTGACTGAAGACATTTTGAGGCTTCAGGGCTGCCACAACTGGAGCTAAGAGATAGGTGGTGGGGAGTAGAGATAGCTGGGGTTTTTAGCCAAAACAAAATACATTCTCTTGGGAACCAAGGACATTCCAGCAGGTGCTTGGAAGGAGGGGACTGAGGTCCCCTAGCAACTGGACTGTATCCTGATTGGACCATGTGACTGGTTGTTTTGGGAAAGTGAAAAACGTCTACTTTTCATTAGGTGAAAGCCGCAGGAACATTTAGAGTCGCTTTTCACCAGCCTGTACCAATATGGCATGTCCAATAAAACTATTCTTTGAGGAATCTATTGGCCTCAGAGTTTTGTTTGTGGTGGGTATGTTATTTGGAACCCTGACACCAAACCTTTGCTCAAGCAGGAGAACTTTACCATCTCAGACAAGTGACTGTCCAGTCTCTTCTTAAAAACCCAACCTTTCGGACCACTAAATTTATAATTTTAAATCCCACAAACCACTAATGTGATCTGCCTAATGACCAGCTGGGTGGGCGTGGCAAGGTGGTCATGTGACTGGGTGGGCGTGGCCAACTCAATGTCACTCACATCAAGAGGCGCCTTGGTGGCCTCTACTCACCCCTCCCCTCCCAACCTCGCCTACACATACGGGCTCCTTAGGGTCCCAACAGGAAGCAGTTGTTGGAGCTAAGCAGCCACCATGAGAAAGAGTTGGCAAAACAGCTCAGTTCAAATTGAATCTGACCAAGAAGGAGGCTCAGCAGAAGCACCTCACTGAGGACTATGAGCATAAGCTTTCCAAGCAGACAGAAGACCTGCGGGAGTGCAAGGCCAAGTACAGGCACCTAGAGGCTCAGCGGGCTGAGATGTTCAGCCATTTCCAGGCCATGATGCAGTCCCACTGGAACAAGGCTCTTCGCCACCAGGGGCATTTCCCTCCAGCCTTCGCCCAAAGCCCCACACCAGGACGCTGAAGCAGCCCCAAGTCAGAATTTCTGCCTTCCTCTGACCCTCCCAAAGGGGAGACTTCTACAGCAACACAAGTGTTCATTGCACGTATCCGTCGCAGGAGACATAGTTTCAGCATCCCTGATTTAGTGCAATATAAAAAATGCAAATAATTTTTCTGCGACAACCAAAATTTTCTCACAGACCACCAGTTGATGACTGCTGGACTAGAAGACCTCAAAGGTCCCTCCCAGCCCTGTTATTCTGTATTCTATTCTATTTGGGCATCAAACAGGAAAGACTCACATATTTGAGGAAGCCA